TCTCGAGCATCAGCAGATTCTTAAAGCCAAAGTATTGATATCAGTGTAGAAGCTGAAAAGGCTGGAACAGTGCATCCCTAGAATTTTACCCATGTGTTGACCTTGTAAAGGTTTAGTCAACACAAAATCAAGTAAATGGGTTTGTGGAGTGGCTCTAGCACAAACTTTCAGAATTGTTAGAATCTCACACAGAAACGACTGTGTATACAGAGAAGCAAACAGCATCTTCAGAAGTGAAAAAGCTGTTTAAATTTTCCAATCACTCCCAAAACTCCAGCTAACTCACTCCAAGCATCCTCCTCTCTGTTGTGGTCCAGATGAATCCTTATAATCCTAATAAAATAAGTTGCCTATGTTCTTGTTCTTCATAACTAAATTAAAAAACACATACAATTAAGACCATATCATGAAGTATCTAGTCTAGCGTGTCCAATCCTCCAATATTTTTAGAGAGTTGCCTGAGGAAGGGCATCTGACTCAAAATCTATGCCTGTGCCCATATGCAAATTCCTGTAGAGATGATTGGATCCCCTAGAGGCAAAACACAAAGACTCTAAAAAGGAGCTAAATAATCCTCTTAACTATGGACAGTTTGACCTATTTCGGCTAGACGACTGCAATGCTATTTCTGTAAAGGAACACATTCTTTTTGCATTTTCTTTTGTTAATTTCACGTTGTCTTGCAATGAAAGAATTAAAATAAAACATCCTTCAAACTCCTGCTTGAACTCTCCACTACAAGTAGCACCACTTTCATTTAGCTGAACATGCAAAACCATGTCCCAACATCAGCCCTTCTCATCATATATTTTTTATTCCCTCTGGTCTGGGGAACTTACAGGGTTAGTGGTTCGGAGAAAACCAAAAGTGGTTTCAACCAAAACCTCAAATGTCAGGGGACGGATGCTTAGGGATGCGCTTGGGAGAGGATGAGGAAGATTACAGGATGAAGAATGGGGAAAGTATAGGTATTTAAAACCAAGAGGAGGATGTCTGGTCTCACAGGGAGGAGCAGTCTCTTTCTGATGTCTGTAGCTTACACATTCAAATGAATTCAACTTTATGAAGATTATGTAAACATGCTCGCTGTCTGCTGTTGGAATATAGATGTTTTCTGAGATGAATTGCAGTTAGAAGAGAAAGAAAATAGTTCAAAGTAAATGGGCCGAGCAGGGTTCAAGGCACTGGCCTCGTCCCAATACTCACGCTATACACACTTAAGCTAAGATAATCCTTTATTGTGTCCCATGGGAGAAATTTGTCGTGGGATCACATGCTTTAACACAAAGACAAGAAAACATAGCAACATGAGCACCATGTAAACATCCAACCACAGAACATACATAAATAAGAGCTCAAGTATGACCACAAGTGATACACCAACAGGACCTTTTAGTCACTCTATACATGCAAGCCCTTCACAGTCGTATATTCTAAGACTGTGAAAGACATATAAGACTAATACAAATCCAATCGTTACCTTGCAAAAAAAGGCAATAAGAGCAATCACATTATCAATTTACAATGAACTAACCAATGCATTATTTATAAACCTTCAAACTCTGGAATGTTACGATGTAGTCGACCTTTACACTTTGAAAATCATGTTCAGAGTAAACAACAATCTCTTGTCATAATCATTACAGAATATGTTCAAAAACCCGAGCTCAGAGGAACGGCCATGTTTATCAAAGAGAAAATCAGAACAAACATTATAAAATTTTGTCTGTCTGTTAAAGGGGTGGAGCGCTGGAACAACTGTACAGAAAACCTAAAAGTGTGCACCACTCGCTTCCAGTTTATAAAGAAGTTAAAATGTTTAACTCTGAGCAGATACATGAATTAGGATACTTAGTTTGTGCTATAGTACTTTGCTGTACTGTATTGATTTGTTTGTTTCCTCTTATTGTATTTATGAAGATGAACTGGTGTCACGATGACGCTTTGATAAAGGAATAAAGGGTAAAATCATAATAAGCTCAAGCTTCAGCCAGCACCTTTTCGGTCTGTGTATGTTAAATATGACTCTTTGTGGAATAATATCAGAATATACCTGTGACTGAAATGAATCAATCAATCAAATCTATGAATAATACTTCAGTGAAGTGTGTGTTCAATGAGGCATGTTCTGAAAAAAATTGGAATTGGGGTCAGTCCATGAAAAGTGTTAATATTTGCAGTGATGCTACCTGGACCGTCTGCATATTTTTAAAAATAGTACATAGTTAATAGTGAATAGATTCAGGTTGGGAGGATTGGTGTTATTAAAATGGTGAAAAGAACCATGCACCATTGTCCATTCTTGACTCACTTGTGGTCAGTATGATCAGTGGGAGTTTTGTTGGTGCAACTGACTGTATTTTTTTTGTTTTGTTTTTTCCTTTGTGCTCATTTTCAAACATGGTTTTCTGCATTTTAGTTAAACAAATGACAACATATTTCCCCCGTTACTGTTGGCAGGGATCAGATGGGACAAACATATGCAAACCTGGGACTTTTCTTGTATAAAACTGTGACAAATCACTGGTTTTGGTTAAATCAGCTGTACAAGGGAAACAGGGCTCAAAACTTTCCAGTGAAATGTGGGGAATCCAGTGGATCTGAAAGTGCACAAGTACGTAAGTGCAGGTATTGGGACATTAAATTACTGTCTATAAAGTTATAAACAAAATGACAAAAGTACACATCTTGGTGAATACTTTTACTTGGATAACTATAATGCATTTGTCTTTGTGCCTTCCCTGTCCTGGGTTTCAGCTCCCTGTTCTACGGCGCCATTTTAAGGACAGTTGACCATTCAGAAGATGTAATATGTAGTTTTGAAATGTTAATTGCTATGGCAACTGTTCTAACTTTTCATCATTCTGAAACGAGTGGATAGAAGCAGCCCAGATAATGGACAGTTTGCCGTGACATTTGAATAAAATAATTGTTTGCATAATGAAATGACCGACAACTGATTTTATGTTAGTATTATTTATGATTATCTTTTTCAGACTGAATATATTGTATTTTTCAAAATGCATGTTTGTGCATATCAGTCTTTGTCTGAACCCATACATCTGTTACATTACATTTCATGGCTCCAGGACCTAAGCAGCAGCTGAATAGAAAGCTATTCTATCATTCTCTCACTCTGTCTATCTCTCTATCCCCCACTCTCTCTCTCCTCTGCTGTCTATTCAAAGCATAAAAAGCCAGCACACATCATAATGTTATCTTCAACTCAGTGAACGAACGGTGGGGGAGGGGCTCGGGTCCTATATGGAAACAGGAAGTGGAGGGGAAACAGAGGAAATGGCCACATGGAGGTGAATTTCAGGTCACATATGGGCTGGTCGTGATCAGAACTTTCACACAAGATGAGGACCAAGACAAACCTGGGGCTAAAGACAGAATGTTGAAGCTACTAGTTAAACCAAGTTTATCTAATTCAAACCAAGATTTTAAATGAGAATTAAGATTTACTTAAAGGCTTCATAGCAGATGTCTACTATCTTAATATCTCTATCCTAATTACTCATTTATAAATGCTTTTCATGCGAGTAGAGTTTTGCCATTACAATAAAGCTAACAACAGCTAGCATGCTAATGTGCACTTCCTGAGTATCCAACAATAAAATGCAAAAACATTTTTGATGCAGGCAGCATGTAGTAATATATCTATAGTGGGGCAAGACACATTTAGCTGAAATGCATTGGGGGGAAAAGTGTATCCATGAGCCAGGAGTAATCAGTCACTGTCAGTATTATTGAGGATCTGGCCAATATTTGGTAAATTATAATGTGTGATGCAAGTGTTGTAATAATATTTGCATGTTCCCTCATGAAACTACTGCTTTAAATGAAGTGTTGATCATTGTATTTATTTTGACCTCCATTAGCTGTGCTTCCACACAGCTATTCTTCCTGGAGTCATTGACCTATGGTGCATTTGTTTGGGGTTGTCCGGGGGTGCCGATCAGGTCGGACCAAAGTCTAAACCAGAACACTATGATGTTTTTGTTTCAGTATTATAATAAAAATGACACATTTGAGTATCACTAGTCTTAACAAAGTCTAGTCTCTTTCTCTTAGCATTGTACTGAAATGACCCCTTCATCTCTGTGCATAAAGCTTATAAACATGTGCAAAAAGGTTTTATCTTTACACTGTTTGTATCTGCACATGCTGCTCTCTTACAGTAGCTTAAGCTGTGTAGTATGTGCATTAGTTCCATTGTGCAGTAATGGCTGGCTGGTCTTTTATTGCTCCTCTCCTCTCTCCCTCTCACACCATCCGCTCTCAGTTTAGTCAATCTCGTTGTGGATGTGTGCTTTCCACCAGAGCAGCGGGCACTGAGTGGACCAGAATATCTCAGGTTTCCCATTGGAGCGAAAAGCAACTTAGAGGCAAAATACAGATAGGCACAGTTCAGAAAGGTGTTTGAGACTGTGTGTTAAAAATAAAACAACAACAATGAAGCAGCACAAAACCAGGCAGTTACAGTTTGAGTTTGCACATGGTCACAAATGTATCATGGCTTGCACAAAATCAAGGAGCAGATTTCATAATCATGGAGGTTTTTAGTCATTGTTACATTGGTTTAAATGGGGCAGCACAAACCAGTAGAATTTGTGACAAATCTGCATTGTCTGAATGGAAAGTATTCAGTATTAAGCTCAAAATATATCTCTTGTTTACAGTGTACATGATTGAGTAATGTTGATTCAGATCCATAATTCTCTGGCCAAGGGAAGCCCAGTCGATGCCTTTTCTCTTGGCAGGAGTTTACAGGGACATGAAAATCTGCATTACATTGAGACAGCTACAAGCCATATGACATTTTACACTCTAAAGTCCCCCAGAGACTTAGGTCATTCCAATTTCCAACCAAAATATTATTTTCAGATTCGCTAATTTATATCCCCCACCTGTGTCAGCAGAAAGTCATTTTGAATATTGATGATGTTATTTTTTCTGTAACATTAATACAGAACCTCCCCTCTCTCTCTGTGCAGGCATGGCTGCAGAGGTATGGGTACCTCCCTCCTGCAGACCCCAGGATGTCAGTGCTGCGCTCGGCCAGAGTCATGCACTCGGCTATCGCTGCCATGCAGCGCCGCTACGGCCTCAACGTCACAGGGAGTCTGGACAGCACCACCATGGAGTGAGTTACACTGAGCCTGCTACACTATATATACAACACTGTTTATATGTGTAAATGTGTCTGTGGACAGCACCGCACTGGAGTCACTTACACTCAGGCTACTACACTATACAACACTATTTATATATGCATATATATATGGACAGCAGCACACTGGAGTAAGTTACTCTGACACCACAACACTGTTGATTTGTGTATGTGTATAAGATGTCACTACACTGCTCTGCAGTTTTGAACTTATTAATTGATTAAAGAAAAGACCTCGACAAACATACATTCCTATTGTGAGTGGGGTTGTCTCTCCACAGATCTGACCCACAACTTGGATTGTCTCCTCCATGGAGAAAGTCAAGTTTAGTGCCATACCATCTATACAAAACAATAACATATCCATGGTGACAAGTCAGTGCCAGACTTTTCACTAAAAAGGTTACATAGTGTGCCTTTAAAATGCCACATTTTGAAGTGTTGATTTGACATCTTGCAGCAGCGGTTTGTGTGATGTAAGTTCTTGTTAAACTCCACTCAGTGCTCTGGGTATTTACTCAGTGAAGGGACGGTCTGTTACTCCCCCTGTTTCACATTGTAGCAGACACATAGTTTCCCTGACATGGATTAAGTGTCCCCTTTTAATTTGATCAAAGCTCTCTTTACTCAGACTACACCTCCGTTTGTCAGATCAGAGGCTGAAAATATGAACACTGCACAGAGGAGACAGAGGAGCAGCCACTCGCTCTCTCAAACTTAGGCTTTTTACAATGAGACCCTCACAAGTGCTTCAAAGGAAATGTCCTGTTTAAACTTAACTCAAAGAGACAGGCAGTGTTGTACGCTCTTCAAACAGATGTTTAACCTGAGAGACTGCATTCAATTACCTTTGGAGTTACGTACAAGGGCAGGCAGAGTTCATCAGACTATTAAAATTTTTATCTCATTTCTGTAGAATAATTAATGATGGAATACCAAAAATGTATGGTTGGATTTCCAAAGATTAGTATTATCATAGCTGAAATGTCTATTATCTCTTTAATGTATTTGTTCATAGATGTTGTGGCCTGTCATGGAACTTATAGCACAGAAGGAGGGCAAGTCTAGTTAAATACAAAAATACAGCTTTAAAAATCACTCCATGTCATGGGCTATACTTTCACATGCAATAAATCCCCTCATCTCCCAGTCTAATTGAATTCTTATGGGAGACCTTTAACCAGATTCCTGTAACCTCCAAATCACTAAAACTGTGCTCAGTGACATTTGTGCCCACCAACACTGAAATACCATCCGCTCCACAAATAGCAATGAGCTCAAATCGTCCGCTCAGCTGTGAAATCGCACTGTGGGGGCCAGCGGTGAGGCAGGCAACAGCTGTCTCACCACTGCCTACAAACACAATGAAATGTGATCGGCTAAAGATGCTAACGGCATGCTAACGGCATGCTAACAGTATGCTAACAATATGCTAACGGTATGCTAACAATATGCCTGTCTTGTTTTTTACCCCTCTATGCTTTCCTTGTTGATGTAGCGATGACACGATAAGGTGAGATGCTATTTCTATAACATCTGGATTGTTTGCACTGGTTATGGTGTGAATGAGTATCGCATGATAAAGGCTAGTTATCATAATAAACGTGCAATGACGATTAAGCTAACGTTGTTTTTGGTCTTGTAGGTGGATGAGGAAGCCCAGATGTGGGGTCCCGGACCAGATAGGGGGGTCATCTCGATTTAACGTCAGGAAAAAGCGGTACGCCCTCACGGGACAGAAGTGGCAACATAAACATATCACATACAGGTGAGTGGACTCTTTTACATGGTACTGAATCTAAAATGATCTTATTTAATTATTCCACAAATCTAAATAAATTGCAATTCATAATGACTTTGTGTGATATGTTCCAGGTTAATGTACATAACAACAGGTTTAGCGGGGTTAAAGGCCCTTCATTGCCGCTTGCAGCTGTAACTGGCTTTTATTGTGACAGATACTAGCTGTTAGAGCGAGAGTTAGAGTCTTTCAATGTCCAATTTTACTCATTTAAGCACTCATGAAATTTAAATAACTATGTAAAGTTTGTGAATCTATTTAAGTTTTCAAACTTTTAATACACGATGCTGCTCAGTGCAAAGGAGCTTTCAATAGGGTTTAATTATGGAATAAGTTGTCATCTTATCGTCAAGAATGTAATCGGAATCTTAAATGTTCAGTAGGATAAAATGCATTTTCAACCACTAGTGAACTGTGAAGCCAGTGCTGATTAGTTTACACTTACCAATCACGTTTTTTTGGTTTGACATTATAGCAATACTTAGGCTACGTTCAGACTGCAGCCTGAAGTGACCCAAGTCCGAATGTTTCGCCCCTTTGCGATCTGTATCTGATCTTTTAATGACAGTCTCAGCAGCACACATCTGATTTTTTTCAAATACGAACCAGGCCACTTGGATATGTGCTCCTAAAACCAATACATATCTGATCTTTGACATGTGACTTCAGTCTGAACGGCCAGGTCACATTCATCCCACCTACACGTCACAAATGTACACAAAGGTTCTTCTCGTCATACGAAAAATGTGTATGAACTCCGTATCAGTGAAGCAGTGAAGCACATAGCAATCCCACCACTCTTGGCTGCGACTCTGCACCCACAAGTTCCTTTCTACGGACGTGGCTTCCACTGCCCCACAAAACACCACGGCCAAAAACCTCGTCCTTCTCCTTCTCAATCTCCTCCTTAAAACAAATAAGCTGTTCATGTTCTGGCTCCGGTGCGACGGCAACTTTAAAATTGCCAGGTGCTCAGTGCTAGCATGCGGGACTCTTTTGGAGCATTTAAAGTTCACACTGGAGATCACATACAAGTTATACTGAATTGGAAATGTGAACGACCTTGCAAAAAAATCTGATTTCATAAAAAAAATCCAAATTGATCATTGAGCCCTGGTGTCTGAACGTAGCCTTTGTGTTCTAGCTTCATGTCACTCCAGTGCGAATCACTACATAAATATCATGATAAAGTCAAGTCTTCAGTGACGTTACAGTGATTAAAGTGAAATGCATGGATAAAATGGAAGAAATGGGTGACTAAAGCCTTGTACAGTGGCATGTCCCTTAGAGGCTCCAGTATCTGCAGAATCACACTGAAAACACGTGCATAGCCTCGCCCGTGGGACTTACACTGACCTTTTCATGGTGATACAGATCTGGCAACAAGACAAGGATCTCTCTCATCTCCTGCTCTCTGCTTTTAACGACTGCTCCCCTAATCCCACCAAGAAATTTATTAGGAAACTTTGAACCGCTCCCCAACTTTTACAATAATGTGGAGTTAATTACTATCATTCACTACTAGCTTATAAAACCCAATCCATAACATCTGCAGTCAACTTTCACAGTAAAATCAGCTACAAATCTCAAATGCCCTGAAACTATAAATGCAACTGCAACTTAAAAGTGCATTGTGTAACTTGTTTCTATGGATATGTCATTGCTCTGCCTGGAATGTTCCACAGTCTGACATTAAACAGCTCTACCTTAGATATATTCAATTACAGGTGGTTTTACAGCTTAGAAATACCAAAAAACAACAGACTTTTCTCTGAGCAGGGTTGCCTCTCCACAGATCTGACCTGTAACTTGGTCTGGAAGATAGAAAGCCTTAAACAGATGGAAAGCCTGTGAAACATTCCAGACAAAGCAATAACATTTTGTGGAGAAAAGCATTTGATGGACCCTCCATCATAAAAGTTGTACAATACGCCTTTAATAGATTATTGTTTGGAATACATTCATGCAGGCCTGTTATGCTTTAGTGCATGCTTCAAAAATTTAAATGTTTTTTTTTACAATCAGATGTAACATTTGTGAAAGACTGCGATTATCTAGGTCATTGAACAACACCCTTTTGTCATGAAAAATCAAAAACACTTCAACATTTCAGACATGTACAAATGGTATTAGTTGTGTTAGTGCAAAGGGAAAAAAAAGTAATTGGTAGTATATTTGAAGAGATTAAATAGCCCACATTACGCTATTTCCTGACGTTATAATGCTGTTTTCTCATCCTACCTGGAGTTGTGTTTTGTTTCATTCACACGTTTAACACACAAACCTGCCCTGGAATTGCCAATCTCTATTAACAAAAGGTAAAAAGCATTCTGATCTTTGGAGATGTCGACAAACTAATAATACAAGATTACTCAAACATGTGTGAATGAAACAAAACACAACACAACTCTGGGTATGTTTTTGATTCAGTAACAGCATTATAGGATGAATTGCAGTTCACGGGAGTCAGTTTTGTGTAATATAGGACCTTTAAAATAAATAAGCACATGTAGGAAATGGTTGCTCATACCCGCGTTTCAAAGAGTTCAGAATTCCCAACATCTTTTCAACACGCTATAGTATTTTATTATGTCTTTCCTTTCAGCACGGCCTTATATAGTCATACGTGTACTGTACAGTTGTATGGCTTGCCTCCAGCTTCATATATGTCATGGGATAATCCTGTAGATGTACGCTTGTTTTTAGTGCCTTGAGGATAGATGCATAAACTGTACTACATGGTAAACATAATCCGGGATCAGTGACCTGCTTTTGAATTGGCTCTGTGTCTGCGTGCTAAAATCTGACGCTGTTTGGACTGCGTTTAAATCCAAAATGAGCAGTTTGTTAGGGTGGAAACGCAGAGTTGGACGTAGAAAGCTGAGAGCGGAGGAAACCCCGGTGGACTGGCTCAGATTAAGATTATATAACAGGACAGGGGCTTTTTGACCGGGTTTGTGTAGAGAATGTGATTGAGCTCAGGCTGCGTCGGTCATCAGATGTGTCTACAGCTGCTCCCTTTGTTCAGAATTAGTGCAGTGCTCCTCTAACATGATAAAATGTGGTCTCTATGGAGTGTTTTTATTTACTTATAATCAGACTCCATACATAATTTGTGGCTGTTTTAATGATTCTTAATGTTAGGGTTATCTTGAATATTATTATTATTCAGAAACTGGCTTGTTATTAAAGATGCATTGTGTCGAGTTGTCTCTAAAAATGAAAATGAAAATTAGATGCTAATTTGAGCAAGAATTGTTTCTGAAAAAATAAAAAAGTTTACAGAAATGTGTTTTTTTTTATATTATCATTGTGATATTGAAATCATTATTGAGCCCTTTTCTTAGTGCTGTCACAGTAAACACTCAATTTTGGTGCTAAGTACTTTGAGTTTTAGAAATAGTATTTTAATAAGAGAAAATAATCATGTTTTGCAGATAGTTGTCATAACAGTCATGTCATTTAAAACACAGCATTGTTTTTGTATCAATCCCCAATGTAACAAAACAATACCACAGCACAACATATTTTACTCTAAGAAAAAAACTGAAGATTTAACCTCTTCAAGTGACATTATTTGTGTTTGTCTGTTGGATTTTTTCATTAACCGAGCTCCAAAATAATCTTTGAAAACACGCTTGGCATTTGGAGAGGTGAAGGTAAAGCGTGGTGGTGCCTCAGGTGTGTGCTGGTTCCAGAGCCCACACACGGGGGCTGCTGCACGGGGCAGTAATTAGCTTCATACCCCCCTCTGTTACCCCTCTCCCTGCACCTCTCTCCCTCTCCAGGCTCCCTCTCTCTTCCTGTACACAAGATCCGGCGTATTATCACCTCACAACATTGACCTATATTTGTTACTTCATTCCAGAGAAGGTTATAACATATTTCTTTCTTTCTTTTTTTTTTTTTTAAACAATTTTTGTACTGTGGTGATGTTATGGTTTTGTCTGGAGTGTTTCACACTATGGTATTAAACCGTTCTACCTTCATGGAGACCAAAACAGACCAACGTACAGGTCAGATCTGCGGAGAGGTGACCCCATTCACAGTCAGAATGCATGTTTTTGCATTTTTTTGAGCTATAAAATGTAAGGTGGAGCTGTTTAATGTCATATTGTGGAACATTCCAGGCAGAGCAATGGCATAACCATAGAAACAAGCACTTCTAATCAAACATTTTTTGCTGAACAACTACTAACTGCTAAAATCCTTAAATCCTTGGTATAGTCACTTCACAACTGCATGTAATGGAAAGAAATGATTTATTTTTGAACAGTGTTGCAACAATATCCCATTGTATGTTTTTCTCTTAATATATTTTAAGTTCAGTGTTCCCATTTACTGAAAGATGACTATACCATAGATTTCTGTAACATGCCAATCCCTAAACAGGTCTAAACTGGAGGACTGCATGAACCATGACCTAGGTGAGGACTATAATTATGTCAAGTTTATTTTAGCTGCTAAATAAAATAACAGTTAGAATGCAATGTGTAGAATAGATCCTTCTAATGCTTATTGTTAAAGGCCCATATTACGCAAATTTGACTCTTGTGAGATTTAGGTCATGCTATAATGTCGTTTTACCTCATCAAAAACATACTTGGAGTTGTGTTTTGTTTCAGTTACACATGTTTGAGTAACCCTGGTTTATTATTCTGTCTACATCTCCAGCTCAAAATGCACTATTACAGCTACCTTTTTACCTTTTGCTCAGTACAGATTGGCAATTCCAGTGCTAAAATCATCCAGAAGATTCTAGTGAATGTGTATGGCGTTTAAAAACACAGCGGAGCACTTCCTGTATCACCACATGACATAACAAGATGAGCGTTTTAAGTTAGAGAGAAGAACTCAGCCTAAATATGCAGGGTTTCTGTGGTAAACATATTTAAATGAAACAAAACACTACTCCAGCAATGTTTGTGATGAAGAAACAACATTATGGCATAATATAGTTCTAATTTGCATTCTGTTTAACAAAGTCTGAGCCATATGACAAAAATAGTTTACAATTATCACCTATGATATTGCAACAATTATCGCAGTTATCCCACACGCAGAGCTTTGGCAAAACATTCACTCTAAACCAGGCTCATACACTCTGACTGACTGCTGTGAAAGCTTCCTATTGTCATTATAGTAAAAAGTAAAAATAAAAACAAGATTTAGACATACCCTTCAGCGAAACATATGGGTCAGCTGATATTGATTTGTACGCACGATGTTTCCTTATTTAATGACTGTGTAGCGTGAGTTTAGCCTTTCTCTGTCTGCCCTACACGAGCACTTGAGAACACAAAAGGCTATTTCAGCTGCCTGTATAAAGTGGCCTAATCAGACAGACAGCTTACAATGCACCACTTCAGCTCATATTCAAGAGAAATGACTTCTGGGAAATATTGCTCCCAAGAGACAGCTTCCCTAGAACTTTTAAGGACAACATATGCTAATTGGGGATGAATACGCACAGCAAAATAAAAGGCAAAATAAACAGTAGTGATGGATTTTTTGTTTTGTTCCGATACTGATTACTACTACAGCAATGATTTGATACAGATATCACTGAGTTTTCTATTAAAATGTATTGTAACTCTTGCCTGGTTTCGAGACTACACACTTCTTTAGTACTTTAAGAAGATGTGATTTTCAGATGACCATGATTGACAGGTGGATTAGCCAATCAGGGACATACATGATCAGTCTGTATCGAAACAAATATGACTGCTTATGAGTATAGATGTTACAATACACAGAAATATTGTGATATTGTATCGTCAAAAGTCTCTCAATAATATCATGGACCATCACAATATATCAAATTACAAGTTTCTTTGCTTAAATTAATAGTTTTGGTGCAGCAATTGCTAAAAAAAAAAGAGGGAACTACACAGACCATGAACCTTTGCTCCATTTCAGTGTAGACTGCATGAAGAAATAAGCACTTTTAAAGCTTAGTTATTTGGATTAAGTAATTAAGGCATTTTAAGAGGAGAAAGTAGGATATTCACAATTTTGTTAACCTCCAAATATAAAAAATATCACAAATATTGTATCGTGAGATGTATATCGTGAAAATATCGTACCGAGAGATGTGAATATCGTTACATCCCTACGTACAAGGAAATGTAGTATCAATAAGTATCAGCATTTTTTGCATTGGATTGACTGATCTGCCCAACAGTAATTAAAAAGTGATCAAATATACGTTTCCTTAAATTGATTACGGTAGTGTTACAGTTTGGGGTTAGCGTCAGGTATGGTATGGTACACCGATAAAGTCTTCAATTCTTGTTTTTTCACCTCAGTTGAATGAACACCCAAACAAGATGTAAACGTCTGAATAATATTTTCTTCTATCTCGTGTTTACTCTGCAATGAATAAAGCCCTGAGAACACATACTGTACTGTCACAAGCCATACTTTCCCTGACCCAGATCTTTTTGCTTTTACAAACTATTCTTTAATGTTTTGGTGCTTTGTCATAGTGGATAGTAATGGTAACCTTGGTGATATTGTACAACCATACATCTTTTCAGCATTTTCTTGCTTTGTGCTTTTTGTGCGTTTGGCCTCGTTCTATTGTATTGCGTTTATTGGTGTCTAGACTAGTGCGTAGATAATAACATAGATATGAAACTAGACAGAAGTAATTACTACAAAGTATCTAAAACCAAAACAAATTAGTGTTCAAAGTTTTATTTTATTTTTCATTTAGAAGTGCATTGTGTAACTTTTCTGATTGAGCTTCCATTAAATGCTTTTTTTCCGTGGTTATGTTATGGCTTTGTCTGGAATGTTTCCCCTTTCTATCTTCATGGAGACCAAACCGGACCAAGTTACAGGTCAGATCTGCGGAGAGACAACCCCGCTCACAGTCAGAATGCCTGTTTTTATGTATTTTGTGCTCTATAAAACCACTTGTAATCGAATAAATGTAATGTAGAGCTGTTTAATATATCATAACTTTCCAAGCAGAGAAATGTCATATCCATAGAAACATGCACTTCTAATCAATCTTATTTTCAGTTTTTCTTTTAACCTTTTTAAGATTATGCAAATTGAATGAACATTTGTCAAAAAATAATAATGAAAAACAAAATTACCACATATTTCTATCAGTCAAAATTATTTCATCCAGCACGGTCTCATATCATCTTTAGTCGAGCTAAATAAACATTTGTGTCCCGGTTTCCTTCTCACCTTTTCAGAGTGATTTGGTAATTAAAAGTTGCACTAATTTAAATCTGCACCATGTAATTTGCCCTGCAGCTGACTCTTCACTGCACATAAAAGAAACTCGCTCAAGTCAAGTAACGTTCTGCTTAGATTCGTTCACATTAGAGGAGGTTGACAGGCTGTCTGCTGAAGGGGCTTTCAGGGGAAGACGAGGCAAATCGTATATACAACAGTAACAAGTAGAAATGTCAACAAACAGTTAGAGTAGAGGTAGTAGTAATAGTAGGAGTAGTAGGAGTAGGTGTAGTAGTAGGAGTAGTAGTAGGATTAGTAATAAGAGTAGGAGTAGTAAGAGTAGTTGGAGCTGGAGTAGTAGGAATACTAGTAGTAGAAGTAGTAGGAGTTGTAGGAGTAGTAGTAGTAGTAGTAGTAGGAGTAGTAGGAGTAGTAGTAGTTGGAGTAGTAGGAATAGTAGTAGTAGGAGTAGTAGGAGTTGGAGTAGCAGGAATAGTAGTAGGAGTAGGACTTGGAGTAGTAGGAATAGTAGTAGTAGGAGTAGTAGGAAAAGTAGTAGTAGGTCTAGTAGTAGGAGAAGTAGAGGGAGTAGCAGGAGTAAGAGGTGTAGTAGAATAGGAGTAGTAGTACTGATAGTACTTTCACAGTTGGAAAAGTACTGGAATATGTATGAATATGTGTAAGACATGCTTGCATGCATCACTAGTGTGTACAAGTGTTGTAGTAGTAGTATTCATTACTAGTAGTAGTAGTAGTTTTAGTAGTGGTAGTACTAGCTGGAGAAGTAGAAAGAAATGCTTGTATGCATCACTAGTGTTGCAGTAGTATGCAACATTTTCCTATTCAAAGTATGTAACATTTAGTTAATTTGTTATTTTTGTTAATCACTATGTTCTCATTTATCATTCTGAAATCCATGGATTAGCAGTAGTAGCAGTAGATGTATTTTTTAAGATTTTATCCAGTTATAAAAGTTTGTTACTACTTATTTATTACTACCACAACTACTACTATTAAAAGTCCTGCTGTTGCTGTTGCTGCTGCTACTGTCACCGTTAACCTTACATAAACTATTGTGTTACAACTACTTAGTATTTGACTTCTTTACTTCTTCTACTGCTTAGATGCTGCGTGCAAACCATTTAACTCTCTGGTTCACCTCCCAACAGTAAAACCTCCCTTAATAGAGCTGAAATATTTAGTCCTGGAGCGAACCCGTCTCTCCTCTCTGTGATTGGCTGTTGGCTCTGGAGCTCCCAGCGTGCACCGGGCTGTTGATAATCCTTAATTAGAAAATCAAATCCAGAGGCAGGAAGTGGTCTCATCTTGTGCACACCTGCCTCAGCTCCGGTCCACCGGGGGGAGCCAGCTGTTCTCAGACTCAAGCGCACCATTTAGCTCTCAGCTGGGGGCAAAAACAATGGAGGAGGAAGCAGTGACAGGTTTTTGTTTGTGAACTGACACCGTGTAGATTCATATCCCCTCTAAAAGCTATTCTCATCGGTCTGTATTATGTTGTTTGGATTAAAAATATTGCAGTGTGCCGAGGAAGCAGTGTTTGAATGTTGATTTTTAACTAGCCAGTCACTGCGATTTCTGGCTCTCCTCTCTATATGCAAATTATGGGCAACACACTGGATTAGCAGTTGACAATTTGCCTTATAACAATAAAGTCCTGGGTTCAGTTCCCAGACCAGATGGGGCATTTCTGTCTGGAGTGGAGTTTCTGTGTGGCTATGTTGTTGCTCCTACCACAGGAACATCTTTTTTGGTTTTTTTTTATATTTTTGATTGGCTGATATTTAAACTCTTTAGCATATCGGCCTTAAAGAATATGCATAAAGTTTATTTGAGCACACTGCATAGCCAGTAAAACAGGGCTGTGGAGGTGTTTGTAACAAATTCCAATTATATAATTTGGTGAAAATAAGCAAAACTGCCCCTACACATTGGCCCACAAATATCAGTAGAGCTCATCAGCCATTGGTTGCTCTGGATTTAAAAAAAATCACACTAATCGGGCTGATTTAGTAGATTTGAAACGTCTAACCAAATGTTTGTCTCACTAGTAGACTGATATCGTAACACTGATTTTCTTCTTCTTCTCCTGTGCCCGTCCAGCATAAAAAACGTCACCCCCAAAGTTGGCGCAGAGGAGACCCACGACGCCATCAGACGAGCGTTCGACGTGTGGCAGAATGTTACTCCGCTGCGCTTCGAGGCCGTGCCCTACAGCGAACTGGAGCGCAGCAAGAAGGACGTGGACATCACCATCATCTTCGCCTCAGGTTTCCACGGCGACAGCTCACCTTTCGACGGCGAGGGCGGCTTCCTGGCACACGCATATTTCCCCGGGCCTGGAATTGGAGGCGACACCCATTTTGATTCGGACGAGCCGTGGACGCTGGGAAACCCCAATCATGACGGTAAGGTTGGTTGTTTGTTGTTGTGATATTTTCGGTAAATGGGGCCGTAATGGCGCTGTGTGGTTTGGTTTCAGGCAGGTTACAGGATAAATAAAATCCTCTGCTTCACTCCAGAGACAGACCACAGCAGTTTATAGCTCCTCTGTTACTGCAGCTGAGTTCACACATCGCTCTGGGGGGACACCACACTTAGATTTCCTTTGCACTGTTCAAAAGAACACAGAAATGTTCTATAATTAGTGTTAATGGTTCTTGCTAAATCACATCTTTCTGTTTGGGTATGAATATGGGAATATTTTACGACTATTGATTTGATAAGACCATGCAATTTCCGGCATATGCTTTATTTTTAACAATGTGCTAAGTAGCTTTTGTGGTAAGTACGTTTGCTGGCATTAAACTTATTTATTGTGCTAAATTATTAAAGTGTTTTTATTGCTCAAAAGTTGCATGAAAAAATATGTATTCTTACTGTTAAGTCTTACTTCTCCACAGATCTGGCCTGTAACTTGTTCTAGTGGTACCACCTGCTTGTCTCTATAGGAACTGATGAGTTTAATGCCACATTGTGAAACATCAAGGCAAGCACAGATTACATATAAATGGACAAAGTGAACCCAATAGGTGTTCCCAGTGTGTTCCAAATAGGAAGTGAGCGCAGGTGTGCTTTCAGCTCCACCAACTCCAGCTCCAATTCACTTTGTATTGTATCGTCATGTTGGTCTTAAAATGTTCACATTAATCTACATGCTTCTAGTGTTTTTATTTGGCTATTTGTCCATAAATCAATTCTTATTCTAATATAGAACTTAGCTCCAAATTCTCTGCTATAACTGAGGCCTCGATGAGCTTCATTTGACTGGAGTTGAGTGTTATGGGTGATGTAACACTCCTTTAGTCCACTTCTTTCTACAGTCTATGCCATGAAGACAAGCAGGTGGCAGACTGTCGAGAAAAATGACCTACTAGGGCTGGGTATCATTAAGAAGTTGCTGATACGATACATACCCCGATACATAGGTCACGATATAATACATATCTTTATACACTGCCCTTTAGACTCGATACGATATATTTCAAATTGATTCGATGCGGTTCTATAAAAAATAATGGCTAAATCATGGCTGTGATCTTTGTTAAACCACTTCTTGTGCAAAGTTCATATGAAACACGCCCATTTTAATCATAAAAACAAGGAAAATGTCAAATGTGTTGCATAAACAAGTTTCCTTCCTCTAAACAAGCAACAAAACTATAACGGTGTAACGCTGTAACTGTAAATAATTTAGTTAAATATACCAAAAAATACTCTTGGTGATATATATCCATACAGTAGCCGACGATATCAATACTGTATCATAACAATAAACGATATGATACATCGATATTTAAATATTTTTGCTCATCGCTTGTATCTAGTACCTTTATGCAAAACATAGAAAAGCTCTATTTTAATGTATGAGTGATTATGTTGTTTATTGACACACTAACTAAATTAATAGATATTTATATAAGCTTATCTATTAGCATTATTCTTATTATCCATTTTCACTGGAGATTCTAATAGTTTTTGGCGTATGTTTAATGTTGTTATTTATGTAGTCATTTTGGTCTACTTCATGAAGCCCTGAATTGTAGCTTTGATCACAGCACATTTTCACGTCTTTATTTCAAATGCGCGGTGTAGTGTCAGCTCACAGTATTATGGCGATCACTCACGTAGGATTTAAGTCTCTTCAGCCTAAGCAGCTATTCTGTGCTCTGCTTTGATGCTCTAATACTTTGAGTCGATCTGACAAGAAATAAGTCTGTTGTTGAACTGTCACTGACTTCTGTGACACTGCGAGGACTAAGCTCCAGTGCTGCATTTGAACCCACCCCTGCTCTGTCTGTAATGAGTGATACAGGATAAAGACAGAAAGACAACACAGCAAAAAAACACTATAAATCTCGCTTAAACTGACTCAAATATGAATTATAGTTTGGATTTTAGTATCTTTTTGACCAGATTAAATTACTTATGTGGCTTATAATATTTCACTCATTTCAAGACATTTCTGATGGCTTTCTGGCTGACTGGTTATTGACATGATAAATTTTCTGATAATTTGACTTGAAATAAACTGTTATGTATTGAAACAAGTTCATCGTTTGTAAAATTGACCTCTTCAAAACATACTTGGCTTTGTGTTTTGTTTCATTCACACATGTTTGAGTAACCCTCCATTATTATTCTGTTTACATCTCCAAAATGCTCTGTTCCACCTTGTTTTAGGATGTAACAATATCCAAATTTCTTCGTATGATATTTTTCACGGTACAATTTTTGTTGCGATATTTTGTGGAGGCTAACAAAACTGTTAATATGATACTTTTTTCCTCTTAAAATGCCTTGACAAGACTTAATCCAAAGAACTAAGACTTAAAAGTGTTTAGGACTGAGATTTCTTCATGTAGTCGACACTGAAATGGAGCAAAGGATCATGGTCTATGTAGTTCCCTCTGTCTCTTTTTTTTTAGCTATTGCTGCACCATAACTCTTAATTTAAGCAAAGAGACTCATAATTCAATATATTGTGAGGGTCCACGATATTGTGAGAACTTTGACAATATTTTGGTTATTGTTATATCCCTAGTTCTTTAGTGTTTTCTGTTGAGAGAAGAACTCAGCCTAAATATGCTGGGTTTGTGTGTTAAATGTGTGAATGAAACAAAACACAACTCCGGGTTTGTGATGAAGAAACATTATAACAGATGAAAAAAATTGTGTAATATAGGCTTTTTATCTCTTCAAGAAATCCATTTTTGTTGTGTATGTGCAGCTTTTTTGCATTATTTTTCAGCAGGAGACAAAATGATGTTATATTTTGAATCGTGCGTTCAAATGCGATGTGTGAGTTGATCTTGTACTGCCTAAGGACTAAGTCAAGAGGAGTCATGACGCTGACAGAACCATGAGTCAAAACAATGACTGGAGCGAGTGATGGGTTTCAGAAATGAAAATGTGGTGAAAGGGAAGTGAGAACTGGATTTAAAAAAAGAAAAAAACTCTTTGGTGAAAACAGTGAAAGGATAAAAGAGCATGGTAGAGTATCTTAAGACAAATATTGGAAGTTCAAGAGCCTCACCAGAGAGACTGAGGAGAGGAAAGAAAAGGCAACATTTGAAGAGAAAGGAGGAAGAGAGATGGGAGATAGAGATAGAGAGAGATGGGAGAGACAAAGAAAGGGAGAGAGAGGGAATGAGAATGAAAGAGAGAAACGAAGGCAACATTTGAAGAGAAAAGACGAGAGAGACTGTGTGTAAAAGAGAAAGAGAGACAGCGAGAAAGGGAGGAAAAGCAAAGCCAGCATTTGAAGAGAAAGCAGGGTGGGAGAGACAGAGAGGAGGTGGGCTGAAAAAGAGAGAAAGATAGATGGAGCGAGGGAAGCAAATGTGACATGGGATGGCAAGAGAGAGGGGTGAAGAGAGAGAGTGCATGAAAGATTAAGCCAACATTTCATGAGAGGAAAGAGAAAGAAAGAGTAAGGGAAGAAGAAGAGAGAAAGATGCAGAAAGAAGGAGAGAGGGAGAGGAGAGTGAATGAGTGGGAGTAGTTAAGCACTATGTCGGAAATAGAAGTGAGGAACCTGGTGTTGAAGATTGAATTTCAAGCAGAGGCTTAGGCAATGTGTTATTTTTCTGCTTTTGAAAATGCATCGCAGACTAAGTAGCACGTAGTGGAGTAAGTATGGGAATGTTATTGCTTTGCGTGGAATGTTCCGCAGTATAGCATTAAACTTATCTATGCCCATGGTGGACAAGTATCAGCACAAGCACCTAAGATACAGATAAGATCGGTGAAGAAGCGACTACACTCACGGTAAGGATAGTAGAAAAGTTTAATGCCATACTGTGTGCCTGATTCATCAGCTGGTTTCACTTCGTAGAAACCGTCTGACCTCGCAGTGTTAGAATTTGTTCGCTCGACGGTAGGTGGGTACTTTTTATCATTTAACCAATCACTGCTATTTGGTCGTGGTATATGCAATGCGCTGCTAACGGGGCTAAGTGATATATTAAGCTTTTCCCAAATCCCGTAGGAAGAAGGGCAATAACATTTTTCCCCTTGATAAAATTCAGCAAACATTCTCTTTGTTCCGGCTTTAAATCTTCGATCTCAGGTATCGTTGACAACACTCAATATATGGCTCTTCGCTGATTGGCTGGTGCCCGAACTCGCACTTCCGGGGTTTTTGCGAACCGTCTATTGTATTTTGATTCCTGACTTAATTACTAGAGCGAAATTAAATTGAGCAGAAGTACTAGGTGGCGCCAGACGGGCTAATACTGTGAGACATTACAGACAAAACATTGCTATCATAAAGACAAGCAGGTGACGGACCCTCCACCAGAAAAGTTACATAATGCATCTTTAATCGCAGCTAATATTATTACTTAGACATTTACCCCAATAGAATCCAAATGATCCACGTCAGCAGGTGACCGCCCCACGTTCACCTGTCACATCCCGCTCCTGTCATCTCCGCTGTGGCACCTGCCATCACTGAAGCCTCTGATTCACGCCCCACAAACCCAACAACGGCGCTTTCTCTTCCTCCCCAGCCTCCAATACAATATTTATACAAGCCCGCTGCGCCCAGACTTCAGCGAAAACATCCCATAATAATGCATTCTCTTCTATTGCACACTCTACGCTACGCTTTTCCTGCCAAATATGAATCATGCAGTGCCCAATCCCAATAGCTCACTGTGGGGACGGAGAGAAGGGCCTATACTGTTACTTTAGATGAATTTTTGAAGTAAAAGTGATTCTTGGTACCCGTATAGCGACTTCGGCCCTGAGATATTGGATGTCTTTACATTTTTTACTTCCAGTTTGAAGCCAGAAAATGCTAATCTAAAGTGCTTTGTATTCCAGCCACATGCTTTCTCTTGGCACGGGGCTCAAAGCTGGAGGCAGTGTGCTGACTTTGGCTGGCCGCGATTACAGTAAAACA